TAGGGTCACTAAACGGTGCCAGGGAAAACAACGGAGTCACAATTCACAGGGTGCACGCCCACACGTCCTTCTCCTAGCATGTATGCCACCTCAATACCAAACACACAACACATAATTTGGGGCTTCATACATTTATCACTAAGATTAGAAGAGTTACTTATCTTGAGCAAGCTGATTCCAACACCGAGCAAGCCAAGCGATGCTCCAAAAATGACATCTCGCGCGTTCCGGCCTCCGAATGACTCGAAACTAACCAAAAATAACTCAAATACATCAAACAATGCTAAAGGAACCAATCCCAACCGAAAAAGGTCGAATCTTTAATTAAAAGCCCAAAATCGGCCAAAAAGCCCAATCCGGGCCCGCATCTCGAAACCCGACAAAACTCACAAAGTCCGACAACCCATTAATTTATGAGTCCAACCATACTAATTTCATCCAATTACAACTCCGAATGGATGTTAAACACTTAAAAATTCACTTTATGAAACTTAATTTAGGCAAAACCCCCCAAATTTCACTTTGAAATCATCAATCAAATGCCAAAAACGAAGATGGATTCATAAAATATAACCAAACCGAGTAGAGAACACTTACCCCAGTCCATATGGTGAAAATCGCCTCCAAAATCGCCCAAATCCGAGCTCCCCAACTCAAAATATGACCAAATGAACAAACTCTTGTTTTATATATTTTTCTGCCAGCTATTCTTCCTTGCTTCTTGTGCCACACGATCCCGAAACTCATTTTTGATGCCTCCAATAGATTCCTCGTAAAATTTTAATCAAGTTAGGCTCTTGAATCACTCCATATTGAAGGAGATATGTTTGGTTTCAATATTTAGAAATAGTGCAAATTTTTAAATACGAACTCAGTGGCAATTTCGTAATTAATCTGAAAAATTTGGCAACCCAATTCTTAGTAAAATGATCATAAAATCCTCATACGATGTCCGAATTCGACGATTCTTTTTGCTATGGCTCCGTAATTACGATACGGATTTAACACTTTAATAAAATTAGAAATCGGAGCACATTTGCTTAATGTAGTACCATTTATGCTTGAAGAAACGACGTCGAAACAAAAAAAAACGAGCGTAACACAACCCAAACCTATCCGAAACTCACCCGAGCCCCTCTGGACCCTGTTCGAACATACCAATAAGTCTCATATCATAACACGTACGTACTTGAGGCCTCAAAACACACATAACAACATCGAAACGATGAATCACACCTCAATTCGAAATCAATGAACTTGAAACTTCAAACTTCCACAATCGATGCCGAAAGCTATCAAATCACGTCCGATTGACCTCAAATTTTACACGCGGTTCACATTTGATATTACGAACCTGCTCCAACTTCCGGAATCAGAATCCGACCCCGATATCAAAAGTTCACTCCCGGTCAAGCTTTCCAAAATTTCAACTTTCGCCATTTCAAGCCAAATTCTACTACGGACCTCCAAATCACAATCTAGATGCGCTCCTAAGTCTAAAATCACCCAACGGAACCATCAGAAATTCAATCCGAGTTCAAATACTAAAAAGTCAAACTTGGTCAAACCTTTCAAATTTAAAGCTTCTAGGTGAGAATCATTCTTCCAAATCAATTTCGAATAGCCGGAAAACCAAAACCGACGATTCACTTAAGTCATAATACATCATAAGGAGCTACCCATACCCAAAAACTACCGAATAAAGTGCAATTGCTCGAAACGACTGGTCGAGTCGTTACATTTTGTTTACACAATGTTTTTTTTTATTACTAATTTACGTTTTGCATGGTCAGGTACTATAGATGATTGATCATTATGTCTTATATTATGAGCTACCATAGTTCCCACATATAATGAGACGTCATATTCACATAACTAAAATAGAAAAATTAATTTTCGACTCAATACAATATATGATGTATTTCATCATATGACACATTATGAAAATTCTTTTGGGTCATAAAATGGTTTCTTTACTTTCTTTTTTAAGTGGTGGCATTTACTTGTTAACACAATTCATTTAATATCCAATGCATTTCACCATGTGACACATTTTTTTAAGCGGGTGAGAAAATGAGTTTTCTTTATGTTCTTTTTAACGGGTATCACGTGAAATTATGTATGGTGAGTTGCTAAGGTGAAAGTCTATTTTGTGTTACCGATATCAAATTTAGCAATTTTGGATATTTTTTATTTTCTGCAATCTATAGATATGGTTGAGTTATTTTTTGTAGTAAAAATTAGTTTTTATAACTTTATCGCGATAAATTGACAGTTATTTGTCTCTCAACGTTAAAGTTGTGTCACTAAGGGATCCCAAGAGAGAATGCACACAACAATTCACGTGAAGCTACACTGTCTTTTTCCCTCATATTCAACACATGAACAAGGCTACTTTGCACTCCATGACAAAATTAATTTACTTTATTTTTGTTATAAAACGAGTTAGGAGACTTATGACTTTCTCCTTAGCGAAAGCAGATCAGCTGTAGCAACCACGACTCGAATTACTAGTCGTTGAGAATTCTCACGTGGTAGATGGACTCTCTGTTTCCACTAAGATACAGAGATTCGAACCCTAGGTAACAATAGCACGGTATAGCCAGTTTTCGAACTGGTCAATCAAAAATAGTCAGCGTTTACCAAGACAATAAAAAATAGCCATTATTTTGCTGCAATAGAGACCGATCCAGCATAATATACTGGAGTTCGGTGCACTTGTGTATGAACTCCAGAATATTATGCTGGACCGGTATACTTTGCTGGCTCCAGTATAATATACTGGAGACTGGAGCACCGGTGCTCCAAACTCCAGTATATTATACTGGACCAATATACTTGCTGGAACTCCAGTATATTATGCTGGAGTTCTAGTTTACTTATGCTGGAACTCCATCATATTATGCTGGAGTTCCAGCATACTTATTCTGGAACTCCAGTATAATATGCTGGAGTTCAAGTATACTTATGCTGGAACTCCAGCATAATATACTGGAGTATTTTCCGGGTTTTGAACAGTGTTTTCGCTCAGATTTATCTTTATATAAAAAGTGGCTAAATTTCGATTACTTTTGAAATTGGGCTATTTTTGAACGAGCAGTTGTAAATCTAGCTATTTTTAAAATTTACCCGAACCCTAGTCGTCATTTGGTTCCCATAAGAAACGTTAGAAAAACTTTTTTCCTATATACACTCATAATCGTGTATTTTATAGGTTATAAGTAGAAAGAATTACGCTTTTAATCACTTGGCACAACAACCCAACTAAAAATGGCCCATGTTTGAAGCCTTTACCCGGTTTGGCCCAGGTTGTATATATCTTGAAAGAAACTTTTCAGTCTTTAGCCCATTATTAAAGACATACTTCTAGGGTTTTTTTCTTTTTTTTTTCTTCTTTCCCAGCATACTCAATCTCTCTTCACTCGCCTCTCTCTTCCTTCTCCCTAAAAATTACAGAATTTTTTTGCACATACTCGTGATAATCCTCCCATTCTATGTCAATTAGATTTCGATTTTTGAGTTAATTGACAAAAAAAGGTTAAGGAACCACAATAAAATTTGGCATATCAGTCCAAAAACTATCAGATCTTGCCTAAAAGAGCATCTCCGGCGACCTCGTCTTATATTTTCTTATTTCTCTTAGTTTTTGTTTCATCCTTTGCTACTGGTGAAGCCCAGATTTGAATGCCAAAACCTCGCCGGAAAAATTCAACACCAGCAACCACCGAAAACTGTAATGTGGTGATGGACATAAGGTGTTTTCTGGTGTAAACTTGTATAGGTAGTGTTTATACAAACTTATACAATATTGTATAAATATGTATAAGTATGTATATATGCGTACAATGTTGTATAAATTAGATATATTTTTAATGTATAAGTGTGTATATACATTGTACGTGTATAGTAGGCATCCATGGATGTTTGACACTTTCTTCTTTTCTTCTTCTTTGTCTTATTTTTCTGATATACATTATTAGAGATTGTATATACAAGTTTATACAAAGTTATACATCATTATACATGTAATGCACATGTGTAGTTAAATCTAAAATTAAAATTTTATATGTTCAATCTATGTATAAATCGAATTTTCTTGTTGATTTATTTGCAAAATCATGAACGTGCAATAATTTTTTTAATTTTTATTTTTTATTTATGCTATTTGGAAGTTGGAAAAGAATAAAACTTAAGGTTTTCAAGTTGCATTATATATGAATTTGAATTTTTTGTAGCTGGAATAGGAATATATACAAACTTGGGGAAGAAGAATAAAAAATCACTAAATTTTCGTGCTTGAAGATCTGCAGAATGAAAAAAGAAAAAAAAATACTTATTTTTCAAATGTTGGCCTATTGTTAATGGGCTACAGATTTGCAAAGTTATAACTGGGTTATTCTGCTGCAATGTATGTAGGTGAACTGTATTTTTGTGTAATTCTCCCTTATAAGTAGGGTTTAAAGGAGGACTTATTAATGGGTTTATGTGTCATCTAGCACCTCTTGTCAGTGGACCCGACCCAATAATATTTTCCAACAGTTTTGTTATTTTAATCAGCCATAATTTCAGAATAATAGAGGGCTGCTGCCTCAAAAAAAAGATTGACCGCGTATAGTATTAGTATGAGATTACAAGATTCCTAGAACCTTAGAAGGCAAACAGTTTATTATTGGATTGGGATAAACTTGAATAAGATTATTTATCACTAGATTGAAGTAAACTTGGATAGTGTGAATTAAATATACACAAACTATAACAAATTATTATTCATCGGAGATTGAGATATTGTTGATTGATGAATTGATAAGTAACATCCATCTACATTCATGAACTTCAAAAGAAAAAGGATACCAAAAAAAGATTCACTTTAGCTTCTAACTCGCGTAGCTTAGTGTAGGTTGCTTACAAGACTTTCGATAGCTGGCTCGGCCGAACGGAATCACCGGAAAAAAAAAGAAAAAAAAGCAAAAATCCCAACAAAAAAAAAAGAAAAAGAAATTTAACCTAATCAAATGACTAACAAGAAATAACATAAAGAAAATGATCACACAACATTAAATAAAAAGATGACATGCAATATATATGATTGCTTTTATTATCTTCACTAAACTACATTATATTTTTTTTGCAGATTAGATGCTTCCTTCAGATCTAACATCGTTATGATCAACTAAACTTAAGCAAAAAGACAATTTTGTTCTCCTTTTTCTTCATTACATCGTAAATCCTTAAATGAAGTAAGGTTCCTATATTTCTCCCATGGCTTGTCCCACACCTCTGCCATGTATTGGTGCGGTTCACCACCGTCCTTGGCGGCGATGACTAGTCGATAATTTGTTCCAGCAATGACTTGGCTCTCTCCCTTTATTATTTTCTCAAACTCTAACTTGGTCTTCGCCTCTTTGTTGTGCTCATTCACCGCAAATTTTCCTATCTCCACCACCTCAGGATCCGTTATGTTTTTTATGGGACTCCAGCTTCCCGCCAAAACCTCTCTCCGACCGCCATGTGCGGCGGAGACATGGAAAAGAACGGTAGCAATCACCAGAGCTAAGAGAAACCCAAGGATGGAATTAAATTTGAGAGCCATTTTTTTATTTCTTTTGAGGAGAGTGAATGGAAAATTGAAAGTTGTAATACTTCACTGTGTGGGCTTATTTATAGCACAGAACCGAAACTTGTCAAGGAATGTGAATTCCAAATTTGCCCTTCACCTAACTATCCCAAAGGTTCAAAGTGTTTTTTCTTTTTCGGTCAGTTCAAAGTCTTTGAAATCTCTCAAAATCATTGTAATTTGATTTGGATTTAACATGTCAAATTTGGTAAATACTTGGGGTAAGTAATTAATTTTACTAATAAGATGTAGTAATATTAAACTGTGCACTGCCGGATGGTTGAACGGCGCGAACCATAGATGCATCTATTTACTACCGAGGCGCTCGGCCCAATCCACAAATAACAATTACTTTTAAGAAGACACAAATTTCTCATTCACAATCAAGTATCTCATACAAATCTTCAAGTAAGTGAATATAACCTTCTATAATTCTTTTATCAATTTCTAACATGACTCAAGTGATTATATTAGCAAGTAAGGACGCAAACATTTCAAATATAGCATGAAATGAGTCCTAAACTACCCTGACAATAGCATAATAGTAGCTACGTACGGACTCTCGTCACCTCGTACGTACGTAGCCCTAACAAATAGGTACAAACATTTATTTAATTCACCTATGAGGTTAATTCCCTCTTATAAGGTTAGAAAGGAGACTTACCTCGTCTCAAAGCCTAATTCCCAATTCAAGAATGCGCTCAAACCTCCAAAATTCGTTGCCAAATGACTCGAAACTAATCAAACATCATATAAACTAATCAATTTATGCTCAAAAGTTCATACTTCCACTATTAAAGTGATTACCCAACCCAAGTTGCAAGATACCTAAAATTCACCCCCGGGCCCACATGCTAGAATTTCGGAAAATTTCAAAGAAAGTTGTTACCCATAACCTTAGAAACATAAATATATGATTTTTACTAAGTTTCATAATCGATTTCGTGTTCAAATCTCGTTTTTATCAAAAACTTAGGCTTTTCCTCTAAACCCTTGATTTTCACTAATTTTTAAATGTTAATCTACCCATAATCTAAATATTTAACTCACATTTGGTAGGAATTACTTACCTCCAAAAGCTAGGTCGGAATCCCCTCCTTAAAGTCTCTCTAGTCGCCCAAGTGTGGAAGAAAATGAGTAAAAATGGCCTAAGCCCGTATTAAATGAAGGTCACTGCCCCCAGCGATTCCGCATTTGCGGTCATAGGGCCGCATCTGCGGATAATGGTCCGCTTCTGCGAAAAAGCCCTAGGCCGGCTAGGTCATATCTGCGGTCAGGTAATCGCTTCTGCGGAGGAAGGGGTCGCATCTGCGGAACTTGGGCTGCATTCCTTGGCCGCTTCTGTGGTGCTTGGTCTGTACCTGCGAGCTCGCACCTCCGCCTGAGCAACCGCAGATGCGGTTATGACAGATCCAGTGCATTCAGCTGTGGTTCCAAATTCACAACTTGGTCCGAACCTAGTCCGATTGGCACTAGGGGAGCCCGGGCCCCCGCCCGAACATACTAACAAGTTTGGAATCATAAAACGGACTCGCTCGAACTCTCGAAATGCCCGAAACAACAATAAAACTAAGAATCACACCCTAAAACCAATTGAATCAAATGTATGAACTTCAAGTTCTTCAATTTACTTCCAATGCGCCAAAATGTACTTATACTACTCGAAATGACACCAAATTTTACGTGCAAGTCTTAAATTACGTTAGATCTATTCCCGGTCTCGAAATTCCGTTTGGACCTTGATATCACCAAAACCCGCTCCAAACCAAATTTAAGGAACTTCTAAAACCTTCAAGAACAATTTTTCATTATTAGGCGCCAAAAAGCCCCCGGGTCATCCAAAACCCGATTCGAACAGACGCCCAAGTCTGAAATCATCATACGAACCTGTTGGAACTATCAAATCCCGATTCCGATGTCGTTTACTCAAAATGTTGACTTAAGTAAAACTTGGCCTTTTAAGCCAACCTTAAGAACCAAGTGTTCCGATTTCAATCCGAACTCTTCCAAATCCCGAACTAGCCATCCCCCAAGTCATAAATTAGTAAAAGCAAGTATGGGAAGTCTTATTCAGGGGAACGGGGTTCTAGAATGAAAAATGACCGGTCGGGTCGTTACATTCTCCGCCTTTTAAATAAAAGTTCGTCCTCAAATGGGTTTAGATTCATACTTGAAGAGATGAATAATTGTGGATATCTGCTCCGCATGTCCTCCTCTGACTCCCAGGTCGCCTCCTCGACTGGTTGGCCCCTCCACTAAACTTTTACCGCGGAAATCCTCTTGGATCTCACCTGGCGATCTTGTCTAGCAACAATGGCAACTGGCTCCTCCTCATAACCCAGGCTCTCATCTAACTCAATAGTGCTAAAGTCTAACACATGTGACAAGTCGGCGTGGTACCTACGGAGCATAGACACATGAAAAACCGGATGAACTCTTTATATGCTGGGAGGTAAAGCAAGCTCATAAGCAACCTCCCCATCTCGCCTCAACACCTCAAATGGGCCTATAAACCTGGGGCTCAACTTGCCCTTCTTCCCGAACCTCAATAATACCCTTCCTCGGCGAGACTTTCAGGAGAACCTTCTCGCCTACCATAAATGATACATCACGCGCCTTCCCGTAACTCTTCTGTCTGGACTGTCCTGTGCGAAGCCGCTCCTCAATCAACTTCACCTTTTCCAAGGCATCCTTCACCAAATCAGTACCATATAACTTAGCCTTGCCGGGCTCAAACCATCCAATGGGAGAACGACACCGCCGACCATACAAAGCCTCAAATGGAACCATCTCGATGCTGGACTGATAACTGTTGTTGTAAGCAAACTCAGCCAAAGGCAAGAACTGATCCCATTACCCTCTAAAGTCAGTTACATATGCTGAGCATGTTCTCCAGGATCTGAACTGTCCGCTACGACTGCCCGTTGGTCTGCGGGTGAAATGTTGTGCTGAGCTCTACACAGGTCCCCAACTCGCTCTGTACGGCTCTCCAGAAATGGGAAGCGAACTGAGGGCCTCCATCTGATACGGAATGAAATGTGCCGACTTGGTCAACCTATCGACATTGACCCAAACTACATCAAACTTCCGCAAGGTCCACGACAACCTAACTACGAAGTCCATAGTAATGCGCTCCTATTTCCACTCAGGTATAGTCATTTGTTGAATTAGGTCACCTGGCCTCTAGTGCTCATACTTGACCTGGTGGCGATTTAGACACCTAGCTACATACTCCACTATGTCTTTCTTCATCCGCCGCCACCAATAATGCTGTCTCAGGTCACAATACATCTTCGTAGCACCTGGATGAATAGAATACCGAGAACTAAATGCCTCCTCTAGAATCCTCTCCCTCAAGCCATCGGCATTAGGAACACATAGACGACCCTGGAGTCGCAGAACACCATCCTCTCCAATAGAAACCTCCTTGGCACTACCCTGTAGTACCGTCTCTCTAAGAACTGCCAAGTGCGGATCATCAAACTGTCGAGCCTTGATCTCCCCCAATAATGAAGACTGGGCAACAACATATGCAAGAACTCAGCTGGGCTCTGAAATATCCAACCTCACAAGTCTGTTAGCCAAGGACTGAATGTCCAAATCTAGTGGTCTCTCCTCTATTGAAATGAATGCCAAGCTACCCATACTCTCCGCCTTCCTTCTTAAGGCATCCGCGACCACATTTGCCTTGCCCGGATGATAAAGAATAGTGATGTCATAATCCTTCAGCAACTCAAGCCATCTACCCTGCCTCAAATTGAGATCTCTTTGCTTGAACAACTCTTGTAAGCTACGATGATCAGTGTAAACCTCACATGACACCCCATAAAGGTAATGCCTCCAGATCTTAAGAGCATGAAAAATCACTGCTAACTCTAGGTCGTGCACATGGTAATTCTTCTCATGAATCTTCAGCTGGCCGAAGCATATGCAATAACTCGCCCTTCCTGCATCAATACACAACCTAAGCCAACGCGTGAAGCATCGCCTTACGTAGTATACATCCCCGAACCAAAAGGGAATACTAAAACTGGTGTTGTAGTCAAAGTTGTCTTGAGCTTCTGAAAGCTCGCCTCACAATCATCGGACCAACGGAATTGAGCACCCTTTTGGGTCAATCTAGTCAGAGGTGCTGCAATGGATGAAAAGCACAAATCGGTGATAATAACCTGCCAACTCCAGGAAACTTCTAATCTCAGTCCGAAGTGGGACGTGGCCAACTCTAAACTACCTCAATCTTCTTAGGGTCCACCTTAATACCCTCTCCTGATACAACATGCCCCAAGAATGCCATAGACTCTAGCCAAAACTCACACTTGGAGAACTTAGCATATAGCTTCTGTTCTCACAATGTCTGAAGCACCACTTCAAATGCTTATCGTCTCCCCCAAGCTACATGAGTAAATCAAGATGTCATCAATAAAGACAATAACGAATGAATCAATATACGACCTAAACACTCTGTTCATCAAATCCATGAACGCCGCTGGGGCATTAGTCAAGCCGAAGTACATCGCCAAAAACTCATAATGGCCATATCTAGTATGGAAAGCAGTCTTCAGAACATCTGAGCCTCGAATCTTCAACTGATGATACCCCGATCTCAAGTCAATCTTGGAGAACACCCTAGCACCCTACAACTGGTCAAACAAATCATCAATGTGCGGCAACGGGTACTTGTTCTTGATGGTAACTTTGTTAAACTGGCGGTAATCAATGCACATCCGTATAGTCCCATCTTTCTTCTTCACAAATAACACTGGCGCACCCCAAGGTGATACACTTGGCCTCACAAACCCCTTTGCTATCAACTCCTCAAGCTGCTCCTTCAACTCCTTCGGAGCCATGCGGTACGGTGGGATAGATATGTGCTGGGTACCTGGAGCGAATTCAATACAGAAATCAATATCACAATCCAGTGGCATGCCTGGAAGGTCAGAAGGGAACACATCAGCAAATTCCTGTTCTACTAGAACTTAATCAATCGTTGGACACTATGCGGTGGTA